CGCCTCTGGACTGGGGAGCAGTGGTGGCTAACAGTGAGTGAGCGCTTCCTATGTGCCAGTCACCTGCTGTGGACTTCACATGTCCTGTCCTGTTTAATCCTGCCCACTGCCCTTTGGGTTGGAGCTATTACCATCTCACTTCACAGAGGAGGAGACAGGGGCACAGAGAGGTACCCAGCGTTCCCCGGGTTAGCAGGAGCAGGTGAGGAGGTGGGATTTGAACCCAGACCTTCTGGCTGCAGGTCTGGTGCCTCGTTGCTCTGATGCTTCTAACTCCACTGAGCACACATCTCCCTGGAGCAACCCGTACAGGGCGGGCGGCCTGGCCTCCCCTTCCCCGGGCACCTCTGTCCCTGCGGGCGTCGAGGTCCTCCCTTTCATTCCTTAGTTAACCCCTGTTTTCATTCAACGCCTAGTGGACGCCATGTGCCTTGTCCGGCTCTGAGGACAGAGGGGACAAAAACGAACAGGTGCAGCCCCTCCCCTGGGGGGGATTCAAGTCTCTCTGGGTCCAGCCTTCCTTGAGGTCCAGGTGGAGGACTCTGGGGAGTTGAGTCTGAATTGAGTGGGCAGGACGTGGGTGAACAAGCTCGCGAGGGTGGGCGAGGCAGCGCAGGAGGGCCGACGTGGACGCAAGACCAGGGCGCCCTGAGCACTACGAGACATCCTGGGCGTGGGGAGGGTCCTGGGGGGCCTGGCCATGGCTGCAGGGAGCCGCTGAACCAAGAGGCACGATGAAGAGGGCCTGGGGCGGCTCTGGGTGCAGTCCTGAAAGTTGGAATCCTGAAGGCCCCCATCCCCAGCTGCAATTCCCACGCAGGAGGAGAATGAGGCTCTGCACGGGAGCGGGAAAGCTGGAGGTCCAGAGGGGATCCGCGTTCTGGGTTGCAGGCAGGGTAGTCGCTAAATTACTCAGTCGCGTCCTGCTGCTGCTCCTCACGCTAGCACCGAAAACTGGCCTTTGTCAGAGAAGGCAGACATCAAGGGTCTTGGTGACCTTCTAAAGCAAGGATGTGCATGACAGCTCCTCCCCAGTGCTACAAAACGCATTAGAGGCTGGACTGTTCTCGCTTGGGAATCTGCTTATGGACAGAGACAGACTTCTATTTACTCCTAACAGCCTAAAACCGACTTCAGGTGCAAGAGGATCCCTTGAGCCCAGCAGCACAGGGCCCGCCTGGGCACCAGAGTGAGAACCTGTCTCAAGACAACAAAAACTAGCACGTTTGACTTTGGCAAATAGATGGCACTTTCAAAACCAATCTCACTTTTTAAAATCAAATATACAATTCATGCTCCTGTTAGATCCCCGAATTCCAGACCTTATTTGCAGGATCATGTATCACAACTGGGGAAAGCATCACACTTTAAAAATGCTTATCTGGAGATTTGGTAGACTTGGCAGAAGAGAAGGATTTGAATGGAATCTCCACACCGTGACGACATCTGGAATCAGGTGTGATCAAGGCTTCTAAAGGCACATTTCAAGGTGTTACAATAAAGTTAGTTTTCCCATTCAGCCCAGAGCATTTGGCAGAAAATTCAGATGAGTGGATACAACAACAATAAGAGCTTGAGTTTACAAATGCGTCCTTTGTCTGCGTTGGCTTTCCTTCAACTGATGGGACTCCGGGAGCTTTGAATGAATTAAAGCTGCGTTTGCCCGAAGCAGCCAGTGACGTTACTGACGCGTTTGAAAATAATGATGTACGAGGAGGATGAGAGGACAGGTACCAGCGTCCCTGTTTGGTCTTCAAAATGTTGGTGCCGTATTTGGGGTCTGCACGCGAGTGCAAGAGGAGTGAGTTCCACACTCCCCAAGAACACCAGGCCACAGCCCAGACCGGGGGACGGTTTCACAGGGAGGTCCACGCGGGCGGGTGTGGAGTCACAGGAGAATTTCACCAAAGGTGGACCAAGTAGAAAGCAAATGTGAGCGTATTCTTCAAAGGGAGCCATGTCCTAAAAGAAAAAAACAAAAAAAAAAAAACTGCGGGTTCTGATGGGAGACTTTGAAATCTGGTCGATGATCGTGAACATCATCATCCTGCTCTTTGCCTTTCTAGCTTTTGACCTTTTAAAATTTGCATTCTTCTTTGAAACAGTTCTTTTCTCCACTGTTTTAGTTGGTCAGTGTTGGTGACTTTTACCACTTTCTATGCTGTTCATTTCATCTTTGCGTCATTTCCAATGCAGGTATAAACGTGCAAAGGCTTTTAGAGAGTCCTGATTCATCACAGGCAGGTGTTTTTTTTTTTTTTTTACAAATTCGACTCCTTGAAAGTGCGTCATTCAACGAGGACTTTGTGTGTGCGTTGTGTCATTTGAAAATGTTGAGATTTCCTTAATAAAGATGTCTTTTTTTTTTTCTTTTTGTGAGGTGTCATGTTTATACACTGGCTTCTGTGAAGGATGAAATGTCTCAGGGTCCTGGCTTTCCAGGAAACTGGACATGAGGTGTGACCTGACGTGGTTCTTGAGTGATCCGCCGTGGCGGTCTGACCAGGTGCTTCACACGACCGCAGGTGTGCGCTGGTGCTCGCCATCACAGCGCATCTCCCGGCGTTTTACTTTGCACTGTTTCTTCTTGGATTTGGTTCACTGGCTGGTAGCTGTTAGACCTGTGCTACTGTCACATGTACGCCTGAGGGGTTATACCTCGAAAACGTTGTCTATTTTCTTTTGTAAAGTGGTCTGTGAAGTGTTATGTCACTTTGTTCTGGTGGGGAGACAGAATCTTAAGTTGCTGAGGCTGGCCTCAAACCCTCAGTCCTCCAGGCTCAGCCTTCTGTGCCTCTGGGGTCACAGGCGTGTGCCACAACACCCAGATCTTTCAGGTCTACATGTCTCTCTAACAAATTTCCTTGTTAAAGAAAAAAAAAAGGCTTTTTGATAAACATTTTTAAATTATTTTTTTCAGAATTTTAGACTTTGAGGATTTTTATTTTTCAGAACTTCACCATTTGGGAGTGTGGCCCAAACCCCGCCCAACACTCCAGTCACTCTTCCAAGTGCTTTATAGAAATGAACACAACAACCCCACAGTCATCCTTGTTTTATAGATGCGTGATCTGAAGCACAGAGAGGTTGAGGCAATTGTCAAGGTCACACAGCTAGGAAATGATAGCATTAGAACTCCAGAAACATTCAGAGCTCATCCTGAGACTGGCATTGACTGTGGAGAAATCTCTGCTAGGGCCAGGAAGAGAATTTTCAGAGGTGATGGAGGCAATCTATCCTCTGCCTCTGGGGGTCCAGCTTATTCATGCTCTCTGAGAGTCTCTGTGCACATGCTGCTGAGGAGATTGCCACCCAGACAGCCTCCCCACCAGGAGCAGCAGGTGTCGGCCAGGAGACACTGCTCCAGAGGTGTGGGCTGGTGCAGCTCTGCACCTTGGGTGGAGAGGGACATGTGGTGAGCAGAGCAAGAGGCTGATCCTCGCCTGCCCGACGGGCAGTGGGAGCCCCGAGCAGCTTCCAAGAGGGACCTGGTGGGACCGTGTGTCTGAAAATTCACCCTGCGGTTTGGTGAGTGGGCTGTAGAATTCAGACTTGACGCAGTGGCCACCAAGAGACAGAGGAGGACGTGGTGCCTGGTGGGATGGTGAGAGGTGGTGAGCTCAGGGGAGGACACTGGGGTAGGTGCTGGGACCCGACAGTGAGCTTAGGCTGCATCCGGACGGGGCCATGTGCATCCCACGCAGGGCACCCTGTGTGAGGGACGGTGGCATCATCAGGGACAGAGTCACCGTACGGGGAAGACAGGGACAGGGGGCGTCATGTGGCCTGGGTCCGTGGCCGCTGCTGATCATGCCCAGAAAGCCCAAGGAGGACCTTCCAACGTCCCCTACGTGGTCAAAATCCCATTTTACCTTCTTGGGAGATAATTTCAAGATAAAACAAATTAAACATAAAAAAGTTACAAAAATACCAGTTCTTTTCCCAGTCGACTTGGGATATGTAGGCCACACGAAGCCCACCCTCCCCAGGGTCCCCACTTGGGGCCTCCTGAAGCAAGGACACACCCAACCTGACCATCAGGACAGAAGGGGAGCTCTAGCCACAGCAGGTCCCCAGCCTGAGCGGGGCCCCAGGCGCCTTGGGGCCCGGTCTCCTCAGCCGCTCTCAGGCCGGGCCTCGGTGGCCTTGGGCTGTCAGAGGCTTACTGGGAAGACCTGGGGCCACGTTCTGAATGTGGCTCCTCAGGGAGATGCAGGTGCTGGGCCCTTGCTGGCCACAACGCACGAGGAGGTGGCTTCTCACTGCTGTCCCACCGGGACACCCGGGTCTTGTGTGGCCTCTCACTGACGTTGCTGGGTCCACTTCAGCAGGGAAGTGTCTTTTGGTCTTTTCCATCTGGTCCCCGGTAAGGATGTAAAGAGGGGGTTCTTAGAAATACCCCACTTCTCACTGCCTTCTCCCTTGAGTCGGACCCTTCGGGAGATTCTTGGCCAAGTTAACTGCGGCGGAGGCAGCACAGAGGGCCATTCTGAACATGGTATTTGCTCCATAAATGAGTCTGCCTTTCAGAGCCCAAGAGGTGGACGGGTGTGACCACGTGCTCTCGGGCTCCTTCCCCATGACAGCCGTGCACAGGGCAGGGGTGGCCCAGACGCACCCCAGATGTACCTGACCGCTCCATGTCAGGCCAGCAAGCTCAGACCTGAAGGGAGCCCCCCACATTCCACCAGCAAGCCTGATCCCAGGAGGCTCGCTGTCCTCCAGGGCACCACGGGAAGTCCACGAGGGGCTGCAAGCAGGGGTGACACGTGACCCATTGAAGCAAAAGTGAACCGCCACCGACGCAAACCCCAGCTAGCGCAGGCCTGGTCCGCAGGGCCTCGAGCTTCACAGCTGGGCAGACACCTAGGAGCCTCCAGCCCTGGGGAGGCCTAGACAGCATGAGAGGAGCCAGTTCTAGTGGGAGGAAGGGTCTGGCTTCCCCGGGCTCTCGGGGCGGCGACCTGGGGCTCAGGGGCGCCCCCAGCCCGTGTCCATACCTTTGCTTTCCTTGAGCAGCTCTTCCGTGAACTTGACCACCTGCACCACCTCCACCCACGGGAAGCCTTTGCCCACCGCGAAGATGACGCTGTCATAGATGGTGTCCAGCAGGATGCTCCTGCGCGCGTCCCTCAACTCGTCAAACGCTTCCCAGTTCAGGAGTCTCCGCAGGTGCTCCCGGCCTTTAGGTTTCTGCAGGACACGGCGCAGGAGTGAGAGGCCGCGGCTGGATACCGTGCAGGCCCACCCCCAGGCCCTCCGACCCCAGGGACAGGGAGGGAGGGTCTCCCGGGAGAATTCCGCTTTCTCTCTCCTCTCTGGGGACTTGTTCTTTGGTTTGAACTCACTTCTCCGAGACTTGACGCAGCCACCGCAGGCCCAGGTTTGCGGGCCTTCAGCGGGTCTCAAGCTCTGAATCACGGCCTTATCCCTCTTCCCTAAAACAATTCGATTTTCCCCCAAGACTACTTTCAACGGGTTTCCCTGTTGATGGGATCATGGAATTCGTGCTAGTGTGCAGATGACTGACAGACAGACAAGGCGTCTGGCGGGCGATGTTTCACGGGAGGAATGAAGCTCAGCCGTGGGACTCGGGCACTCTGGCAGAGCGGGAGGGAAAGACTGATGGGAAGCCTTTCCCCTGGTGTGCAGTGAGACCCCGCTGCTTGAGAGTTCTTTAGCCCTTCCAGAAGGTTCTTATAGGTCACCGACACATGTAGGAGATGCAAATGCCACTTAAGGGGGCAGGGTAGAAAAAGGTATGGGGTGATGGTCTCCTCCCCCCCTGAGAAGACCCTGGGGACACCCACCCTGCAAGGGGTGTCAGTCTCCTGGGGCCAGGATGCTCTGGCTAGGAGGACCCTGGGGACCATGACTGCTCTGATGGCACAGGGAGCCCGATCCCTGTCCTCAGTCCCAGAACCTCTTCTCCTCTACCTGACCCAGGCGGTCCAGCTGCCCTTCTCCCTCAAGTCAGCTCAGGGCCCCGCTCCCCACACTTGTGGGCTCAACTGCAACCGGGGCTCCTGGGGGGGCAGGAGCAGTCCCCCATTCTCTCCAGCAGGCTCTGCCACACCAGGGGCTGTCCCTGCAGGCCCCAACACTGGCCACCAGCAGGGGTAGGCGAGCCTGGAATGTGGCCGCACCCATCACAGGTGGATGCCCAGGGTGTCCCCTGAAGAGACACCACCCTGAAGAGACACCGCTCTGGAGTGACCCCTGGCACACGCCCCATTTCTGGACCCACGGGGCAAACTTTGTCTCAAAAGGCCCGCTTTCTCTTTCTTCACCTGGAATTGGAAGACTTCTTTCACTCCCTGGGGTGTTAGGAGTGCCATGGCCCTGAATCCAGTTGCCAAGAGACGGGCCGGCACTGCCGAGTCTGGAACCCGGGGCGGGTGGGGTGCAGCTTTGTTGGGTCATGAGGCGCCCGGGCTCCTGGGTGGCTTCCTCTGGCTCCTCCTCTCTGCGATGCTCTGGGTCCGCCTGTGCCTGAGCAGGGACCTCTGTCCCCTTCCCTCTTACACCCCTCCCTCACAGGCTGTCTTCCATCGGAAGCGAGGTCCGGGCATCACCCTCCCTTACACGCATGAGGGCCCCCCTCATGCCAGTTCCCACAGGACCCAGGACTCCCCTTCCTCCCAGACCTTGAAACCCCGTCCTCTATCTTCAGGTCCCCGGGGTCCTCCAACACCTCGTCCCTCAGGACCTGCCGACCCCACTTCTTCCCGGCAGCTGGCACCCCGTGTTCCCAGCAACATGGTTTCACTTAGGGGTGCAGAGAACAGCTCTGCAGAGGTGCCCCAAGTTCAGCACCTGAGCATCGCATGCCGGGACCCGGGGTGGGCTCCCCCTCCTGCCCGGCTTTGCCCTTTCTCCACCTGGAAGCCCCTGGCACCCCCGGGTCACCTGGGGGCAAGTCTGTCTCTCCCCCGCCTCACTGCCCATGTCCAGAGCCTCACTGAGACGTCCTTTCCTGCTCCCTCCCTAAAACGCACCCCAACCCTCACCTGCTGCCCCTGAGCCTGCGGGTGGCGCTTAGGGAACCTCCCAGGTTCCTCTCCTCCTCCCTCAAGCGCACCTCCAGCTCTTCTTGACTCGCCCTCCCCCCTCCCCACCCACCTCCGGGTCTGGCCGCCCTAATGGTCACTGAGTCCTTTCTCCCCTCTGCCCCCCTGCCCCCCGCCTCTGTAGTGGGGCGTAGGGATTTCTTACCAAGTCTCTGAACCTCCCCCTCCACACACAGACGCATCAAAGTGGACTGCCAGCTTCGTGCTTCGCAGCCTTCCTGGACACTCAAGGGCAAGCCCAGAGCTCCCGCGTGGCCTGAAGGCCCCCGTGGCCAGGCCCTCCTTTCCCCTCCAGCCCAGCCTGGCTGCTTTGCCCACTCGCCTCCGGCTCCCTCCAGGACTTTGCCTGCGGACATCTCTTCTGGACAGGTCTTCCCTTGCTCTGCCCAGGTGACTCTCCTGCTGCTTCACGGCTCACCTCTCCCTCAGCGACCCCTGAATCCCCAGTACACACACTCGTAGCACTCAGTTGTCACCTTGTGATCGTCCCCACCTCGTGATGATTGTTTTGAGGCCAGAGTGTAAGGCGGAGGGAGGTCTGGTTTGGTTTGCGGCTGTTCTACTCGCCACGTGCCCGCCCAGCGTAGAGTAGGTGCCCTTGGCTCATCCAGTGGCTTGGCCGTGGCTCTGGTGACGTGGCATCGGTGTGTCTGTGGAGGCTGCCTTCCCTCTAGCCTGCTCATCTTGCCAGGACGTGGACAACATCCTGCTCCCTCTGGAGCCCTGGTGCCTGCTGCGGGGACCCAGTGACTGTTTTCATGGCCAACAAGGTGATGTTGACAGAGGTGACCAGTTACAGACGCAGCCGCCCTGCTCTTGCCTCACGTGGGCCGCACCCGTGTTCTTCTGCCAAACACAGCCATTCTCAAATCTTACCTGAGACTCTGTGAAAGCCACGTGGTCCCCGTTGAGCTCAGGGGAATGGACAGAGCATCTCGGCTGACCTCTTCTGAGGCCTGTTTGGTCATAAAAACGAAAACCTCCTAGAATCCCAACAACCAAAGGGCGTCTTAGTCAATGACAGTGGCAACTTTCCAGGACTGGGGATGCCTGGCGCATAATCCTTGCGCTGCTTCTGTAAGATGCGCCTGATGACCCTCGTTCCCCTCCACGCATGAGGAGGTCGGGCGCAGAGGCATTGAGTGTCCTGCAGGGTCACAGGGTCTGTGCTGGGACCCTGGTTTACCGCTGGCCACACTCATAGCTGCACGGGGGCATTGCTACCCGGGCTCTGGCCACTGAGGCACTGGACTGGTGAGAACTAACGTCACTGTTCCCTGACGGCTTCCTTCGGGCCACAGTGTGCCCTGTAGCCTGTGGGTTTGACCGTCCTTGGCCCAGGGCACAGCCGGCCCTGGCTTTTTCTTCTCTCTCCTTTATCAGAATCCTCATCAACCTTGCTGTTACCATCTCTCACGGGGAGCCCCTCCTGAGGCATGAGCTTGTACTCGTCTCGGGGGGACCCAGAGGCCCCCTCACCCAGGCCTTGACTGTCCAGGCAAAGGGATGAGGCCCAGAGAAGAGAAGAGGCATTTCTGTCAGAGACCAGAGTCGGAACTTGAACTCAAGCCCCTGGCCCCATGTTAGTGCCATTTCCCCTACATCCTGTCACCTGCCTGATGGTCAGGTGTACGTCAATTTGACCAGGGCATGGTGTCCGTGGTATATAATAAAAGAGTAAAGTGGGTGCTTCTGTGAAGGTGCTTTGCAGATGTGGTTGACATCTACAACCAGTTCACTGTAAGAAAGACTGACTTTGTGGGTGAGCCTCATCCAATCAGTTGAAGACCATAAGGGAAAAATGGAAGTTTCCTGAAAAAGAAGAAATAGTGCCCCAAGACTGTAGTACTCACTTCTGCCCGAGTTTCTAGACTGCTGACTTGCCCTGGATTTTTTTTTTATCAGTCCAAATGATGGATGAACTTATGACTTAAAATAAATTTTATTCATATTTAGCTATCCATCCATCCATCTACCCTTCTATTTATCTGCTTGTCTTTCTATTATCTATCATTTATCAATCATCTATCTATCCATCCATTCATCCTATTGGCCCTGTATCTCTAGAGAATGCTAATTGATACATTGTCCTAAAGGAACTTATGTAGCCACATAATTTTTGTTTTTGTATACAGATGACATATGTAAATTTAGAGAAAATACATAAAGTAATAAGATTATCTAAAAAGAATTTCTCCCTACTAAGAATGGCCAAGCACAAAACCAAACACACCAGTTAGCAGATGGGCTGGGAGATGCTGGCTCGGCTTTCTTTGGAGAGGCACTAAGGAGGCTGATGGCCCAGTGCTTGGCCCCTCTGCCTACTGATGGAACCGACGGTTTGCAGGGAGAGACATCAGTGTGCCCAGCCAACAGCTACCTTTCTCCCATCTGTTTCAGGCCCAATAAGAAACAAGCAGAAAGTTTTGCGGTGGAACATAAAGAAAGGAGTTAGCTGGAACACACACACACACACACACACACACACACACACACACTTTGGCCTTTTCCCCTCCTCCTCTTGCTTCCTAGAACACAGGTACACAGGTCAAGGGCCTCAGCAAGCATCTTGGACCGTGGGAAAAGTCCATGACCTTGACCTTGACATCCTGGGACACAGAACAAATGCCAGCAGTGACTCCTTCTGGTCTTACTAAATTGCAAAAACAAATTCTTTCATGTTTAAGCCTCCATCCCTGATGCTCAGAGCCCTAACGGCTCCTAACCTGTGTGGGCTGTGGCACAGGGTGGCCTGCCACAGGCAGTAGAAGCTGGTATTTGAAAGTGAGCGAATGAAGCAAGTGGCTAGAAAGATGCCATCTTGGTAGACGTTGCAGACAAGCAGCTGGTGACCTCGCCGTGTATCTGCAAACGTTTGTTCAGATGGTGTCACCTACTACTAACCCCTGCGGTGTGTTTCACATGCCAGCCGAGGCTGTAGCAATGGGGATATGGCCAGAAGAATCCAGACTGTTGGCAGCAAGGTTTGGGGTGGGAGCCGAATTCCTCCTCCATCCAGGCTGCAAGCAGAGGCGCATGGAAACTGCTTTCCTGACTCACGTGCCTCCACGGTGGGCTGTAATTTTTGTGTGCACATATTTATTTAAGATGATTTTTTTAAAACATGGCAAAACTCACAGAACATAAAATGAACCATCAGGGATGGGCACACTGTGCAGACCTCACCCCCTTTCTTCTCTAGAACCCCTCATTCCCCAGGGGACTCCTGGGCCTGCTAGGCATTGGCTCCCCACATGCCCTCCAACCAACCTGGCACCCCATCTCCGTGGTTTTGCTCTAGGGACCTCATATAAGTGGGATCCTGCAACGTGTACCCTTCTTCACTTGGTGGGCACCTTCCTGTTGTAGCACGTGTCAGAATGTCCTTCCTCTTCACAGCTGACTGGTTTCCTGTCGTCCATGCTCGCCGTGTTCGGTTCATCCATTGGTTTGTAGGTGGACACGTGGGTTGCTTCCTCCTTTGGGCAACTGCACAGAAGTGCCTACAAAGAGGGGTGTACAAATGGAGTCCTGCAGGATCACAACTGCCCAACTCCGCCTGTCCCCGGAGCTGAGTGGTTGTAAGTGGTGACTTCAAAGTGGCAGCCCCAGGAGAAGTGGACCTTCTCACCAAGCAAAGGTGCTGATGTCGGCAGAGAGAGGGCTGGCTTCCAGGGAGGCTTATTACCTTAGACATCACCTCACGTCAGAGCCCATCTTCTAAGTGCTGGGGGCTGGGAACTGTGTGGCCGGTAAGTAAAATAAGCAACTCCGGCCCTGAGGATGGTGTCTGGGTAAGGCCTTTGGCTGCACGTGCTACTTGCGTGAAATGGACTGGAAGCGATCAGAACCAGAGTGGGCCAGGTTCTGAGAGAACGTGTGACCACAGAAAGCCCAATCTGGCTGGCAACAGTGCAGACGATTCCCAGGCCTCCAGATGCAAAGGAACAGGAGGTGGGCTCTGGAGCCCGGGGCTGCCTAAGGAAGATCATGCCCCAAGTGTGCCTCTGAGATGCAGCAAGGGAGATGGACACGCCAAGACAGACCTTCCGGAGGGAGAGCGATGGAGGCCAAGGATGAAGGGAGACTCCAGGGCGGGGAGCGGTGCTGGCCACGGGATGCAGTCTGCTGCTGAGCCGGCACCCTCCCTATTTTTAGGTGACTATCAGGGGCCCTTGGCGGCGGGGTGGTCCCCATTATTCTCTTTTCCTTATGGGAGTTGTTTTTTTTTAAACAATGATCTTCCTTTTTTTGTCATTGCATATGGG